TGTGTGCTGAATGGGTGAATGGCGGCTGGGCATCCGACTTTATGGATGAGGAAGCCGGGGCTCAGACGTGTTGAGTGACTTGCCCAATAACAATGGCTGTGCTCTCTGGAGGGTACTCAGTGCCAAGCCGTGCGCAGAGCCCGTTCCATGCACTGTCCCTTCAGCCTGGCAGCAGCTCTGTGAGGCAGGACAGCCCCCTGACACAGGTCAAGACCAGCCAGGCTGAGTCTTGTTCAAGAGCACACAGTGGGTCAGAAAGGAGCCAGGGTCTGATGCCAGGCTGCATGTGTCCCACGCCCCCACTGGTAGCTTCTTGGCTCCATGGCCTCCCAGGGCCTGAAATCAAGGTCTTCTGGCCCCAGTGTCCCCGCAAACAAAGCAAAGGCGTCTGTGTTGAGGGAATCATTTAGTCATTCCCTCTCTCCAGGCAGCACTGTGTCTAAACCATCAGGATCTCTCCCCCAACTTTATAAACTCCTTGCCAAAGGATCTCACCATTTCCCAAGTCTCCCCTTTCCAATGATGTTCCTCACCACAGTATGTTCTTCTTCCCGTCTAACCTAAACCCCCCTTGCTTTCCTACTAGAAAGACCTATTTCTTCTGGTCCCCGCCTTCCAGGGAGCTGGGCAAGGCCGGCTCCGGAGCTTCCGACACAGGCAACGTATCCAAGACGCTTCGTTGAACTGGGAAGGGAGAGTGGAGCCACGGGCTCTGGGTCCCAGGGGTCCACGCCAACCCGAGAACCCTGGCTCCCGCGGCTGGCGCTGCATCAGCAGTCTGCCCCTCGCTCCTCTGAGGCCGGCCTTGCCAGGGTGATTTATGGGCCCTGTCAATCTGCGGGCTGAGCCGGGGAGACAGCGGGAGGAAGCGGGGATCAGGAGCAGCCATCCGTGGGGCCAAGCCAGGACGGGGTGGGAGGGGGGAGAGGCAGACCAGAGAAGGGCTGGAGTGGGGCTAGGGGTAGGAAGGCAGAGACCCCGACCCTCCAGGTGATGGGACACAGATCAGGATGGAAACCCCAGCAGGCGGTCAGAGAGGCCACCGCCCCGGGCCAGGCCCAGTGGCTGGGGGACAGAGACACAGAGCAGAGTGAAGAAAGAGGGCGGGAGTGAGCGGGTAAGTCAGCTGGTAGACATCCACCTCGGGAGTTTCTGATTCCTTTTATCCTGAAGACAAAAGCAAAATGAAAATGACTGACGGCGAGAGACTTTTAGGGGGGGTTGCTTTTCTGCAAACTGGCTGGAAGTCACAGATTCGCACATCTCCCCGCGTGTCAGAGCCCTGGCAGGGACCTCAGGACCTGCCCCACCCACCCCAGGCGGGGGCCACTCCATCCTCCCTCTGTCTCTCGCCCTGGTTTATGCGTCCGTCCCTGCAGCTTCACGCCTGCCCACTCCCGTTTGCACCCGGCCTCCCTGCCTTAGATTTTCCTGCTTGATGCTCTGTGGCCTCTTCCTTCCTTCCTCTCGGGTGTTCTTACTCCCTGGGAGCCGCTCTGGGTCAGCCTCCCTGCCTCTCTCCCGTCTGTCTAGCTGCCCCCGTCACTCTCTACCCCTTCATGGTGTCTCTCCCTACTTGCCTCCCTCCTGGTGTGGCCCCTGGGCCTCACCCTCGCACTGTCCTTGGTCCCTCAATCTCTAAAGTCCATTAATCACAGGTGCCCCTGACCCAGCCCTGGGCAGTGGGTCCAGGTGGCCCGCCAAGTGGGAGGGGAGGGTCTCCAGGCCAGGAGTTGCTGCGGGAGGGGAGCCCCCACATCTGTTAGCTGGGCAGCTGGGGACAAAGGTGAGGCAGCACCCCTAGGTAGGGGCAGCAGAACAGGCAGCTGGCAGCTCCCTTTTATCCGGAGTGGATTTGATATTCCAGGCTTGCACACACATGCACACACGTGCACACACAGGACACAGCACAACAGATATGCACTGAGCAGCCTCAGACAGCCTGGCATCCAGACTCTCAAATTCACATCTTCTCTGCCGGGTCCAGAAACTCCCTCCTCCAACTTCACCCCATCGGACCACAGAGATGTCCCCCACGCCAGTGCACCGGAACCCACGGTGGGAAGGCATGTCTACTATCCCCAGGGGAAAGGACAAGGGCCCCAGACCTAAATCCTACCCCCTCCGGCACCGTGGACACATAGCCTCTCTCCCCACCCTTCCCCCCCGCCACCGCCCACCTCCCCACACCCCCATCCCGGGCAGGAGCCAGGAGCTCAGAGCTGAGCTGCAAGCCCATCTGTTCCAGGTGATCTCTTTGTTTCTCACTTGGTTTCCATCCCCTTGATTTATGAGACTAGGGGAGAGATCCCTTCTCATTTATACTTTGAAGCTGATTCAAATTGTTTCAGTAACAAATTAGTCTAAATGGAAAGCAAAGTTTCCATCTGTTTCCAGGGGGTCTGGTGGGTGGGTGGCTGCCCCCCTGACGGTTCTGGCAGGGAGGGTGGTGCGCCCCCTAGGGGCCAGTGTGGAGATGGCAGTGCCTGCCCCTGGAAACCAGGCGAGGGGAGCCTCACCATGGAGCACTATGCATAACTAGTCATATACTCTATGCACCACATATACACTATGTACAGTGTACATGCACTATGTAGGCACTACTAATACACTGTATGTACACTTTGAGCTATAGACTGACTGCCCCCTCCCCTAGTCATATGTTGAACCTATTCCCCAGTGTGATGGAATTAGGAGGTGGGGCTTTTAGCGGGTCACAAGGGAGCTCATAGTATCTAACCCCACAGACTGTTCTAGACCCACCTTCTCTACCTGCACCTCGTACCCAGGCTCTGCCACCTAGAAATGCTCACACAGGGCCCCCCAATCAGATAAGGGGCAGCTTGAGCCCCAGGGACCCAGGCAAGAGCCACCCAGACCTCCATCCCAATCACAGCTCCGCCAGGGTTTAGCTCTGTGACCTTAGGCAAGTGGCTGCACATCTCTGAACTTCCACTTCCTGGGTTGACACTGGGATAATGGCAGCTCCCACCGAGTGAGGTCACGAGGATTAGCCCACGGTGGGAGCGGGGGAGGCATGGCAGTGAGTGAAGGGGCTTCGAGAAGAAATAACTGATGGGAGGGACCTAGAGCTAAAATGATGCTTAGGGCCACGCAAGGACACCCCTAGATACATTCACCCCCACCCGGCAGAGGGAGGCGGCGTGGAGGAGGTGGCAGAAGGAGCTGAGGGCGGAGGTATTTCACAGGTACATGCGGGGTCTCAGGTGCCCTGTCAGGAGCGAGTGCAACCAGAGTGCTGTTTCTCTGGCACAGCATACGCTGCCCCCGACCGCCGGCCCGACAGCTGGGGCAGCGTGGCCTAGTGCGGAACCTGTGACGGCGTTCTCTGTGAGCAGGACCGCATGAGCAGGCCCCGGGCCTCCTGCCAACTCCAGGCTGCGCCGAGGGAGGGAGGTCATGGTTTTGGGGGGCCTGCCTGGGTGGTAGGGGCAGGGCCCCGGGTATGGTCGGAGTGGAGCTGTCTGCAGCACCCCCCTCCCCATTTGGCAGCTACTGAGAGCGCCTATCTGCTGGGGACAAAAGATGTCGCAGGAAGTGACAGGGTGCTATGTTTCCCCTAAAAATAACAGTGACAGGGGTTCTTTTCTTGTCAGGAGAGACAACAGCTCAACTTTGCTTCTGTCAGCAGCTCTGCCGCTTCTCGAACCCCACCCCTCCCTGCTGCCCACTCCAGGGCTGGGGCTCAGCCAGGTGCTGGCAGGGGTCTGAATCAGGCCTTCCTGCCCCAGCCCCGAGGGCCACCAGCAGCCGGCACTCTCCCTGTCTCTCCTTCTCCTCCTCCTCCTCCTCCTCCCCACAACCTCAGCTTTATTTCTATCCCTCTAGTCCCACCCCCAGGGACAGGAATCAAGAGGAGTCTGGGCCAAGTCCACCCTCCCCAGTCCCAGGGCCCTGCTGTCCCCTCAGCTGTGGCCTCTGTGGCGGCCAGGCCCGCCAAGGCCAGAGCTGGGGAGCGGGCATCCCTCTGCCTCCCCCTGGCGTGTGGGGTCCCCCCAGCCGGAGCAGAACGCTCCGCGGAGAGCCGTCCACGAGGAGGGCCAGGATCAGCCACAGACCCATTTACAAGCAGCTCTAATAAAAAGTGACGTTCCTGTCTTCTAGAAAATACGGTGCCATTGCCCCATCCGCGTCCGGAACAGCTTTGTGGGGAGGGACGATTGGATCTCCCCTGCAGCCGCCTCCCTCCCACCACCTCCTGGCATGTGCTGGGGCCATAATGGATAGGGAGCTGCCTCCGGGGGCAGCCGCCCGCTGCAGGTGTATCCATCTCTCTCGCTGGGGCCCAGCTCAGGCCTCCCACCACCTCCTGGCATGTGCTGGGGCCATAATGGATAGGGAGCTGCCTCCGGGGGCAGCCGCCCGCTGCAGGTGTATCCATCTCTCTCGCTGGGGCCCACCTCTGGCTGGGAACTCCAGGCCCACCCCCACCTCCCTCCCCACCCCCACCTCCCATGTTGGTGTATCACAGCCTTAGGGAAGGGGAGAGCTGAGTACCCAGCAGGGGTGCCCCAGGGGAGCCTCCCTCCGCAGGTGAAAGGTTCACTTATTCATTCAACAAACACTTATTGAGCACCTACTAGGAGGCACTAGTCTAGGCCCCAGGGTGAGAGCGGTGAACAGACAAGGTCCCCACCCTCATGGATCTGACATTGGGAGGATGGGGGGCGACAGACCTGAAATGAAGCAGCTACAAATCAACAAGGTCACCTTAGATGGCAGACTCGCAATGTTAAGTGCGACGCGGTCATGAAACAGGAAGAGGCAGATGGAGGGTGCCTGGGGCCGCTGTCACAGGGGTCAGGAGGGCTCTCCCAGGAGCTGGCCTTGTGCTGAGACCTGAATGATGAGAAGCAGCGGCCTGGAGCCGAGGAGAGGGTGTGCCAGGCAGAGAGAGGGGCAGGGGCAAAGGTGTGTGTGTGGGGGGGGGCGGAGCCCTGAGCCCTGGCCGTACAAAGGCAGCAGTGCCAGTGTGGCGGGCGGAGGGAGGAGGGCGCACGGGGTGAGAAGTTGGAGAAGGAAGGAGGTGCGGGACTCCGAGAGCACGTGAGTAGTTTTTTGTAGGCGGAATCAAAGCCGTTGGGAGTTTTAAGCAGGTTGTTCTTTTAGAATCACCCTGGCTGCTGGGTGGAGAGTAGCGGGCAGGGTCCGTGGAGAGGAGGGAGCAACTCGGGTTGTATGGGTGGGGGGTGATGGGGAACCGAACAGAGCGTGCACGGTGGGGGAGTCGTCAGTTCAGGATATATTTCAGGCCCCGCTGACGCACCGGCGGGTGTACTTGGCCTCCCCTGCTTCCTCCCGCAGGAAGGAGGCACGCGGCCTCTGTTTCCATAGCCACCCATCTGAGGGCCGAGTCTTCCTCTGTCTCTGCCTCCCCAGCTCCAGGCTGGCTCTCACTCCCAGCTGGGGCACGAAGCCACATCTTCCCTGGAGGCAAGGAGAGAGACCTCGGACCAGAGAGGGTGCCTGGCGGCCAGGCCCCAGCTCAGGGGCGAATGTGACCCTGCTCCCAGCACCACTGAGGCGTTCCACCCATTCTGCAGAGGGGAGTGTGAAGGCCCCAGGGTTGGGGATATTCTTGGCTTCTGTGCTGGGCCTGGGACTCGAGCTCCTCCCAGCAGCACAAGGGAGCAGGAAAGAGCAGGTAGGAGCTCAGACGAGGCCATCCGCCTGGGTGTGACTTCAGCTCCACCAGATACAAGCTGTGTGACCCCGAGAAAATGACTCTCTGAGCCTCGATTAAGTCCTTCATTGATTCAACAAATAGGTAGCGAGCCCCTACTATGTGCCAGGCCTTAGAGTGGGTGCTGGGGATGCTGCAGCGACAAGAGGGATTTACAGTCTCAGAGGGAAGACAGGCAACGAGTCAACAATTAGTGCCACCGACAAGAGGGATTTACAGTCTCAGAGGGAAGACAGGCGAGTCAACAATTAGTGCCATGGCTGTGATCCAGGAAGTGGGGATGGGGGTGCGATGGAAGGTACTAATTAGGAGGAGGTGGTTGTGAGGATGAAAGACCACACGTGGAAAGCCCTCAATGCAGAGCGTGGCAGTGGTAAGTGCCAGTGCCCGAGAGCCACTATTGGGAGGGGCCGAGGGGGAAAGGGTGAGGGCGTCAGGACTGGCCCTCAACTCCAAGCCCAGAGCCGGCCAAAGGGGAAGCCTGCTTTTGCCCCCGGCACAGGTCAGAGGTCAGGCCTGAAACCTCTTCTGGGGCCTCGGGAACAGACCAACCCCTGACTCTGGGTCTGGCGTTCGTGAGTAGGACACCCAGGCCCTTCCTCCGATGTCCCAGTCGCGGGGTCCCTCACACAGCCACCCCTTGGGGGAGTCATCTTTCTAGGCTGCAGGTGGAATTTACAAAACCTCTGCGCCCCTGGTCACCCAGGGCCGGAAACCCCTCTGAGAGGCTTCCTGGGATTGTCCGGTATTCGCTGGCACCCTGCCCCAGGGGCGAAAAGACCCCCTCCCTCTCTTGGGCCGGTGAGAAGCTGACCTCTCCACACTGACGTCTAGAAACCGCCCCACCCCAGTGGAAAGTCCCTGCCTGACAAAAGGCTCCCGGAAATGGACAAACCTCGGGACAAACCGCAGGTGTCACCTGACCCGGGAAAACCCCAACTGCCACCAGTTTCTGCCAGCAACAGTTGCCTCAGAAAAGCGTAAAAACTTGCCCCTGCCCCAGTCTGGCCCGGCTTCTCCTGCTCCCCTCCCCGAGCTGCTGAACCCGCCCGTGTGCTCCCAATAAAGCCTGTTTAATCTGGTCTCTGTTTGGACTCACGGTTTTTCCTTGCGGCGGCGTAAAACCTAAGATTTGGTGCCGAAACCGGGAGTGGGTCTCGGACTGGGACGATCCTCGCCCCGGTCTCCTCTTACGACCTGGGAAGCTGTGGGCAGCGGCAGCTCGCCGGGGTAACTCCCAGACTCTGAGGTGCCGGGTCCGGCTCACTTCCCCGGTTTGCCGCCCCGGACCTCGGCCTGGACTTCCCTCGGACTCCGTCTCCAGTAAGTTGCACGGGAAACCTTTCCCCCTTCCTTTCCTGCTCTCCGAGATCCGTCCGGAGCCTCTCGTCCTAGTCACGGCCGTGCCGAGAGAACTCCTCCGCCCTCAGAGGGCTACTGTCCGGTCTCTTTGAGGACAAAGGAGACGTCCTTGGTCCTCTTCAGACCCCAACCCAGAACCGGGACTCTGTACCAATCGGTGGGACGCCTCCCTTGGTGCTTTGTCCCTAATCTCGGGGAGCGGGAAACCCCTCAACTATGGGGGCCTCAGAGTCCAGGCCGGATCCTAAGACACCTCTAGGGTGTCTCCTTAAAAATTTTTCCAAATTGGGGTACACTCAGACACTCAAGGCCAAACGCTTCATTTCTCTCTCGCAACAACAATGGCCTCAATATCCTCTAGATAACCAGTCCCGCTGGCCCCCCACTGGCACCTTTGACTTCAATGTTCTCACAGACTTAGACAATTAAAGGGTACCGGGTCTCCATTAAAAAGGCCCAAATTGCTTCCCCCTCGGTCACGTACCTGGGACTGTCAATTACTCCCACCCAGCGGGCCATACTCCAGACGGGGGCCTCAGAGTCCAGGCCGGATCCTAAGACACCTCTAGGGTGTCTCCTTAAAAATTTTTCCAAATTGGGGTACACTCAGACACTCAAGGCCAAACGCTTCATTTCTCTCTCGCAACAACAATGGCCTCAATATCCTCTAGATAACCAGTCCCGCTGGCCCCCACTGGCACCTTTGACTTCAATGTTCTCACAGACTTAGACAATTAAAGGGTACCGGGTCTCCATTAAAAAGGCCCAAATTGCTTCCCCCTCGGTCACGTACCTGGGACTGTCAATCACTCCCACCCAGCGGGCCATTACTCCAGACAGAATCCAGGCCCTCAAGGGGCTTCTCCCGCCCACTACGGCCGCAGAAATACAGTCCTTCCTTGGCCTGGCGGGGTTCTTCAGACAATGGATCCCTAACTTCGCCCTCTTAGCCAAACCGCTGTACCAAGCAGCCAAAGAGACACCAGTAGGCCCACTTACCTCTCCGGAGGAAGTAAAAAGGGCCTTCAATAAACTCCTAAAAACCCTCATTGAGGCCCCGGCTCTGGCACTACCTAACCCTAACCGCCCTTTTTACTTATACACTGATGAAAGGCAACATCTGGCGGTAGGAGTCCTGGCCCAACCGGTGGGAAAGACCCTGGTTCCAATAGCCTACCTTTCCAAGCAGATCGACCCCACGGTCAGAGGATGGCAACCATGCCTCCGTGCCCTGGCTGCGGCCGCCGAGCTGGCCACTGAGGCTCTAAAAATTAACTTGCACCAACCCCTAAAAGTCTTCTCTCCACATCGCCTCTCAGATCTCCTATCACACCAGGCCTTGGCACACCTTGGACCCTCTCGGGTCCAACTCTTCCATCTCCTTTTCTTAGAAAACCCAACCATTACTCTTGCTAGTTGTCCTGCTCTTAACCCTGCTACCCTCCTCCCTACTCCAGGGAAAGAGGGACCTTTTCATTCGTGCCCAGAAGTCCTCGAGGCCTGTCGCTCCCCCAGGGCTGACCTCACAGATCACCCCTTACCAAATCCACAGCACACCCTATTTGTTGATGGCAGCTCAACTATAGACCCCTCCGGGATCAGGCGGGCGGCCTATGCCATAGTCTGTGACAAAACTGTCTTAGAGGCAGGACCTCTCCCTCCAGGAACTACCTCCCAGCAAGCAGAGTTGGTAGCTCTGACCAGAGCTCTGACATGGGCCAAAGGAAAGGAAGTCAACATCTACACAGATTCCAAATATTCCTTTCTCATAGCCCATTCCCACTGTATGATATGGAAGGAAAGGGGATTCCTAACCACCAAAGGCACCCCAGTTTTAAACGGCCAGTTAATTGCCAAACTTCTGGAGGCCATCCAATTGCCTTCCAAAATAGCCATCATCCACTGCAGAGGCCACCAGCCGCCTAATACCCCGGTAGCCTTAGGAAATGCCATGGCCGATCGCGCTGCCAGGTCATTTACAACGACAGCCTCTCCCCAACCCGTTCAGCATGTCTGCTTTCTCTCTCGCACATACAAACCCCAATATTCTAAAAGCGAGCTTAATACCCATCATGACTCCCCTGACATCCAGGTCAGGGACGGCGGGGCGTTTCGTAACGGGCTCTTAGTCCTCCCGGGGTCGCAAAAACACCAAATAATTTCAGATATCCACAACTCCCTCCACATCGGTCCGGCGGCCCTTCACCGTTTTCTCTCCCCTATTTTTCACCCCTCGGGGCTACGAAGTACCATCGATGAGGTCCACGCCTCCTGCTCGGTCTGCTCCCGCGCCAACAGCCCGGGAGCCTGCCACGTCCGGCGGACGCTTCACCAAATGCGAGGGCACCTGCCCGGACAGGACTGGCAGGTTGACTTCACACACATGCCTAGACACAAAACTCTAAAATACCTCCTGACCATGGTTGATACTTTTTCAGGATGGATTGAGGCCTTCAGAGACAGCGGAAGTAGTGTCCAGCCACCTCATCAGGGACATCATTCCTCGTTTTGGTCTCCCTACGTCCCTCCAGTCGGATAACGGACCTGCTTTCATCTCGAAGGTCACGGAGGCCGTTTCTTCCTCTCTGGGAATATCCTGGAAACTTCACTCTGCCTACCACCCTCAGTCATCGGGAAAGGTAGAAAGGGCTAATGGCCTAATAAAGGAACAGTTAACTAAACTTAGCCTCGAGCTTCGCCTCTCGTGGCCCGAGCTCCTCCCACTGGCTCTAGCCAGACTAAGAGCCTCCCCAAGGGGACCCTCACACCTCAGCCCCTTTGAGCTCTTGTATGGACGCCCCTTCCTGCTCTCCTCACCCCCGCCTCCATCTACACCTCCACTGGCCTCCTATCTTCCCTGTCTCTCTCTACTAAGAGACCTCCTTAGGGAACACGCCAACTCTGCTCTCCCCGAACCTACCCCGGGAGATCAGGCCCCGATCTCCCTCGCCCCGGGAGACCAGGTACTAATCAAATCTCTCTCCCCCAAACCGCTAACTCCCCGGTGGGAAGGCCCATACACTGTCATCTTAACCACACCTTCGGCAGTTAAAGTTCTCGGCATCACCTCCTGGATTCACCGTTCCCGCCTCAAGAAACCCAGCTCGGCCCCCTCTCCCCACAATGGCCCCCCAACAGGATGGAGGGCCACGCCTACAGGGCCTCTTACCCTGCACTTCACTCGCAATCCTGCTTCTCCACCTTCCCGGAGCCCCCGGCCATAACACCCCGAAGGGCTTCTGGTCCTTTCAGGTAAAACGAACCTGGGGGGATGAAGGGGTTATCAACTCGACCACCTGGGATGGTAAATCATCACAAGTCACCCTATATTTTGATGCCTGCGCTGCTATGGCACCAGGGTGGTCGAGCTGTGGAGGGTGGTTCCAGACATATGCCACTGATCACAAGTATCTCTGCATGAAATATAGGCAGCGAGGGGACTGTGACAACGTAGGGGAATTTTATTGCCCCTACTGGCAATGCCCCCACTACCATTCTGGGTCCCTGGCTAGCCCGCTAGTCAATCTTAGAGCACCCCCAGGCTGTAATACAGACAATTGTAACCCTGTCAGCTTTACTATTAAAGACCCAGGTAACCCCCGCTGGAACCAGGCTCAGCCGGCAGGAATCAGGATCGACGGTCAGGGGCGCGACCCGGGAGGCATTATCCTTTTTGTCAAAACTTTCATAAATCCTCGTCCTGTTCTACCTGCTATACAAAATGTTCTCTCACTTGCCTCGTCAACCATACCCAGGAATTGACAACCATACCGTGCACCTCAAACACCTCGCTTCCCCCTGCAACTTTTTGCCCTCCCCCGGGGATCTTCATCCTCTGCGGAACGACGGCCTATACATGTGTCCCCGAGAACCTTGAACAAGCCCCCTGTCTCTATGTCTTCCTGACACCAAATCTCTCTGTTAGAACTGAAGGCGAGCTGGAATCATCTCTCGCCCCGGTCTTCCCTCATTCCAGGCGGGAGAGAGCAGCTCTTGTTCCCCTTCTTGTGGGGACAGGGGTCCTAACAGTCGTGGGAACCGGGGTCGGAGGGATTTCTTCCTCAGTACACTTCTATCACAAGCTCTCCACAGAATTCTCTGAAGATATGGCTCTCATAAGTGACTCCATTGAATCCTTACAAAGGCAGATAGACTCGCTGGCAGCTGTGGCTCTGCAGAACCGCAGGGCCCTTGATCTCCTCACCGCTGAGAAGGGAGGTACATGTATTTTCCTCGGGGAAGAATGCTGTTATTTTGTCAATGAATCAGGAATAATAAAAGACCATATAAAAACACTAAGGGACAGAATAAGTCAGAGGCAGAGGGAGGCGACTGGGGGGATGGCATTCTTCGGCTCCCTAGCTCCCTGGCTCCTCCCTCTCCTGGGGCCACTAACATCCCTACTCCTAATCCTCCTCTTTGGCCCATGTCTCATAAAATGTCTTACTAGCTTCCTCCAAAACAGAATACAAGCCCTCACGAATGCGAAGGTTGGAGAACTGTACCTAGCCCTCAACCCGGAGGCTCTCTCAACCGGCCCTTATGCTGAAACACCCATGTCTGCAAGTAAACAACCCCAGACTACACATACATGCAGAAATGCTGTCTAACCTGTTTTTTTATTTTCTTCTCCCCCCCCCTCCCCCCGCGGCATCTGCCTAGTGGCGCGGAACATTCGGAGCCTCTCTATTCCCCCCAACGCCCCTAACCAGCAGGAAGTAGCCGGATGATCACGTCGCCCTCTAATCCCATCATAGAGAGTCCGGAATGTCCGGTATTCGCTGGCACCCTGCCCTGGGGGCGAAAAGACCCCCTCCCTCTCTTGGGCCGGTGAGAAGCTGACCTCTCCACACTGACGTCTAGAAACCGCCCCACCCCGGTGGAAAGTCCCTGCCTGACAAACGGCTCCCAGAAATGGCCAAACCTTGGGACAAACCGCAGGTGTCACCTGACCCCGGAAAACCCCAACTGCCACCAGTTTCTGCCAGCAACAGTTGCCTCAGAAAAGCATAAAAACTTGCCCCTGCCCCAGTTTGGCGCAGCTTCTCCTGCTCCCCTCCCCGAGCTGGTTAACCCGCCCGTGTGCTCCCAATAAAGCCTGTTTAATCTGGTCTCTGTTTGGACTCACGGTTTCTCCTTGCAGCGGCGTAAAACCTAATAGGGATAGTCGCAGGAAGGCACGGCCCTTGACCTTCCGGGTGGGGAGAAAGTCCCCGCACCCTCCCAGAAGCATTGGATGAGAAGGCAGGAGGGAGGAGCACGGGGCGGGGACACCCCAACCATTCTTGATCTCAGGGTCCCCTCCATGAGGACACCCCCAGGTAAGGGCCGTGCTAGGACTGGAAGGGACAGACACCGAGATAAAACACAGACCTCCCTCTGTCCCTCTGACTTCTCGTAAGAAGGTAATAAAACTGCAGGCCAGGATGGCCAGAGGACGTGATTTACTCAGGCTGGGGAAAGCTTTCATAAGGTCCCTCCGCAAACGGCCATTAAGGGAGTGGAATAACCACAGGCTAAGGGGCAAGTGCTACGGGTTCCAGAGTGGTTGAAGCAGAGAAATTAAAGAGGCCTTCGGAGCCTGGAGACGGTATTAATAACCGCACCGGGCACTTGGGAAGCCCCTTCATCCCAGCTGGCTTTGCGGGCACCAACTCCTGGCGCTCAGGTCTCTGGTGGAGCCGGAGGAACAGGCAAGCTGGGGGATGGGCAGCCCCCACTTTTCAGCTGGACAAGTGTGGGATGGGCTGGGGTCTTGGAACTCAGGGCGCCTGGAAGATTCTGGGTGACACACTCTCTAGTGGTGCAAATGAGATTGTAGAGGGAACGGCCAGCGCTGTGAGGAGGGCAGGACTGTGGGGAGGGGTGAATACCAAGTGGGCCTCCAGTCCCACTATCGAGGCTGGGGGTGTGTGTGTGACATGGCAGCAGGTGGGAGCAGAGAACCCACACTTCCCATCCAGAGGCTCCTCTCCTAGGCCTCCTCCTGCACAGAGGCCTGAGGAAGCTTGAGTCTCACCTCCTGTGTGGGCCGCCCCATCCCACCTGGATCTCCCGGGTGAAAAGTCCAATGTCCATAAGGTCCCACTCCCTCCTCCTCGCCCATCTCTCAAGGCTCAGTTCAAGCAATGCCTCCTCCACGAAGCCTTCCCAGCTCTCGCCCTAACTTTGCCCCTCTGAGCTGCATCCTCCCCCATGCCCTACTCTCAATAATGCAGACAAAGACCCCAACAAAGGGTCCCAGAGAACCTCCCCATGGGGCTGCCTTCTGAGCAGAGCTGCCTGGCCCCTCCATCCCACCCCCACCCTGGCTCGTCCTCCTCTGTAATTTCTCCTTCCCAGAATTTATCTCTCCCGCTGAAATTAGCATTCCTTTTAAACGTTTTCACACTCTCCAATCATTCCTCAAATGCGCATATTAACTGGGAAAATGACTTGCCTGAGCTACTTCACCCAGCCTCACATTAATCTCCCCACAACCCCATTCCACTGAGCGCGCCTGGCCTTCTCTGCTCAGCCTCGAACACCAGGGCCACTCCAGAGCAGCCCCCAGTGCCCAAGGCTCACAGCCACAGAGGGCCAGGGGCCACCTGGAGGGCCAGGGGAGGAGCCCCGCCCTGCTGGGCTTGCCGTCCACGGGCAGAGATGGCAGGGGAGGCTGCCTGCCTTGGCTCCCCTTTCTGAGTTAGTTTCTCACAGTATCAGAGCTTCCCCAGGGCGAGTGACTTCTCCTCTTATGGGAGAGGGAGCTGGGAGTGAGAAGTCAGGTCACTTACTCAAGCTGAAGCCCTGGGCATTGTGGGCTCCAAAGCCCACGCCCTTGGCCGCCATTCTGCTTGAGGAACAAAGGTGATGGGCGGGAGGTGGTCCCAGGATGTGGCTTAGCCACCTATCGGCTGTGTGACCTTTGGCAAGGACAGTGAGGAGTCAGAGCAGATTTGTATTTATAGCTCCTCATGTACAACTAGAGGCCTGGTACACGAATTCGTGCGTGGGTGGGGTCCAGCCGGCACACCCCGATTGGGGCCGATTGGGGCCGGGCTGGCCGGGGGGAGGGGATGCAGGAGGTTGGCCGCCGGCCCCCACCCCTGATCGCTTGGCTTTTATATATATAGATAATCATCTAAGCCTCATCACAATGCTATGAGGTAGATACTATGACCTCCGTTCTATAGATAAGAAAGTTGGTGCAGCCCTAACCGGTTTGGCTCAGTGGATAGAGCGTCGGCCTATGGACTGAAGGATCCCAGGTTCGATTCCGGTCAAGGGCATGTACCTGGGTTGCGGGCACATCCCCAGTAGGGGGTGTGCAGGAGGCAGCTGATCGATGTTTCTCTCTCATCGATGTTTCTAACTCTCTATCCTTCTCCCTTCCTCTCTGTAAAAAAAAAAATCAATAAAATATATTTTAAAAAAATAAAAGAAAGTTGGTGCACAGAGAGGTTAAGTAACTTATCCAAGGACAAACAGCTAATACATAGCAGAGCCAGGACTCAAAGCCAAGGAGTCTGCCCTCTTAAGCTCCACATTATATGGGCCCCTCAATAATGACAGGGGAGACCCATCATTGCACCACTCTTCCAGGCGGCCTCCCAACCATTAAACCTGGAAAGGTCTCGTCCTGAGTCCAGTGTAACGTTTAGCTCTGACTGCAGCTTTAGAGTCTATGCAACCTCTCATTTGGCCCAAGTGCAGATGGCAAAGAGAAGGGACCCCACACCAGCTCTGCCCTGCACCCCACCCAGCCAACCACCACTTGGTGACAGCCCCAAGGCGGGCAATGGCCACCCAGCATCTGAGCCTGCGTGGCCTCATCCTGCTTCCTCCTCACTGGAATTCTCTGGGACTTTCCACCAGGATTCCCCCCAGGCCCCTCCACTGCTGGGCAAATGTTCCAAAGTCCCCACATCAGGGGCCTGCCAGAGTGCCTGGGACAGAGATCTCTGTCTTACAGTATCTATAGACCAGTCGTTCTCAACCTTGGCCGCACATTAGAATCACCTGGGAATCTTTTTAAAATCCTGATTTCTGGGCCTCATCCTCCGGAAATTCTGTTTCTTTGTTATGGGGTGGGGCCACAACATTAATAACAAAGGAACAGAATTTCCAGAGGATGAGGCCCAGAAATCAGGATTTTAAAAAGATTCCCAGGTGGTTCTAATGTGCAGCCAAGGTTGAGAACCACTGCTATAGACTGTCCCACCCTCTGCCCCTAATGCGGGTCCTCAGGCCATTAGGATCAAACAGACATCCGATTCTTGAGCCTTGGCGGGCAGGCGGGAGGCCGGAGGGAGACGGGCGAGAGGCAGGCGAGAGGCGGGCTGGCCAGGGTGTCGCCAGGTCAGGAACGGGGACCTCACTCCCTTGCTAGGATACAGCAGTCCCCGGGCCTCCCTGATGTGATTTCCCAGACAATGACAACCTTTAACGTCCGCTCGGCTATAATCTCCTTTATCTTAATACAATCTTTTCCTGTTGAACTCTCCAGAGCCCCAACCGCTTTTTCAACGGAGAGATTTTTTTTATTATGACTTGATACTATGATTACTGTCGAACTCTCAGTCTTTGTGGAGGGGAAATTAATAAGTTTTTCTTAAGCACTCGGCACGGCCACTGCATACCGATGAGGCCGGGCCAGCTCCCCCGCTGTGGGAGTCGATTATCAATCTGGCCTCTTGCCTGCTGGGGCCCGGCAGTTCTCATATCTGCAGGAAGCTGGTCATTAGGGGCCTGCCTGGTGCCAGCACCTCTGGCAAACGCTGGGCATCCCACGAGGGGCCAGGGGCCCACCCTGCTCCATTCCTGGCCGTGTCTTGGGGCAGGAATCATAGATGTCGAATCCCAGACCGGAACAGGCCTTCGCTTTCAGCTCATTCAGATGGAGAAACTGAGGCCAAGCAAGATGTGACAGCTAGCGGCCAGGCCGGGCTGTCCCGCTGGGTGACATCTCGGTGCTTCGGACTCTCTTTCCTTTGAGTCTGGCTGCCGTCCCTCCTGCTGCCCTGCTGCCTTTGTCCTGTTCCAATTAGGCTGAAGGTTGACAGGTGACGTCTCTCAGCCCCGCAGGGAGAATGAATGGAGACAGAGCCCTATCCCAGAAACCCCTGCTCTGCTCCTAGCCTCAGCCATGCTCGGCCTGGGGGAGGGAAGGGCTCCCTTGGGCGAGCTGCCTGTCAGCTGCCTACTCGGGCAAGCGTGGCAATGAACAAACAAAACAAACACCACCCTGTTCTCCCCGACCAACCGTGACCATTCACTGAGCAAGCTTGTCTCAGCCACCCTGGGAGACGGGAGGGGAGGGACTAGACTATTGCTGTGACCCAAGGCGAGGCCAGGCTCGGGCAGCAAGGCGGTCACAGTGCCTGGCGGTCCTAGGGGTCTCAGGCTTGGCCTGGAAGGTGGAAGCCAGTCCCCCACCAACTACACTGATGGCGAGCAGTATTGGCTGCAACCGGAGA